CAACAGAGAAGAAATTCGCGCGGCTTTTTGAGGAAAATTTATCTCCGAAGCGCCAAGTTTGAAATGTACTCTTCTTTCCTCTGAAACACGTTCAAAGAACATCAAAAATTCCCTATTAAAAAACAAGGCGCCAAATTTGAAGCAAATTGGCGGTCAATGTGCCAACAAGTGTTTATGCAATAAATTGCAATATCAAGGTAGCTGTACTGCGGAGGGAGGGAAAAGCCCCTGGCATCCACTTCTCAGTACTATAACGTGGATTTTGAATGTTTGCAATGCGCAACGCGATATGCATGCAGTGGCAAATCTACAGTATGGCAAACATATCACGAGTCATGAGAGCTACTCAATGGGACGCTATTTAGAGTATACCCATTAAAACAAATACCAACGCTAATTTGAAGTACCCTGTCAGGGACGCAAATTCTATGCTTGCCATGGGCGCCTGAATATCTAGATGCGCCTCCCTATGCGATATACCTATTGCAAGCAATATGCGATACCCTGCTTGCAATTCTACTTTTTTAATTTTAATTTTTAAATAAAAGTTTAAACGTAGATTTATGACGAAGACTTCAAGTTGATTTTTGCTTCTAATGTGAAGAGCTCGGAGCAAAGTTAAGAGTACAATTGCGTGACAATTCTAAACATGCATCCAAGGCTGAAGTTCATATCCAAATTAAAAAAAAAAAAAAAAAGTTGCTAAAATATATAAATCAGTCCAATAAGCTAAAGATAATTGAGCTATGTGATTGTCCAAACTCTTTACATTATGTAATTTGTAACTAAGGCTCTAAGTGAATAAGATGGTAAAAAGTGCCCCCGCTTGAAATCGAAAAGTAAACCTTCCCTACGAATTGTTTCAGATTTCTCTCCCTTCACATCCTTCATAATAACGAAAACTTTGTCTTTTTTTCATTCAATTGGCCGTGCTCAAGTGCTCAGTAGTGCTAAAGTGCTCAATAGTCGAAATAAAAAATAGTAATTAATGTTTATAACTATTTAACTATAATTATATTTTCCAAAGGGATTCGTAGGCAATGACTACCGGGAGATAACTGTCCGCTCGTCTGGCGCGAGACAGCTCAGTTTCCCGTGAATCAAATCAGTTTGTTCCAGTGGGGTCGACTTCTTTTCTCATCAAAGGAATTTTAAATATTTTGTTCGGTAATCAAATTATTATTTATCTACTCTTAAAAGGGAAACACGATACTTGGCCTTTTTGCAACTCCATGTAGTTGGCTTGAATTTTGGATATCGTATTGAAATAGCGGTGCAATTTAAAATGAATATTTCTTCCTAATTTCTTATGACATTTCGATGCACAAAGGACGTGAGAAGCTTAACAGAAACGTTCTTGCGTATTAAAAGTCTCTTAGGAGTATCTTTAGATTTGAGGAAAAGAAGGAAAATACGATTTCAGAAAATAGAAAAGGTTCCAGATAAAGTACTCCGCCCCATTGCTGAATTCGTTGTCACTATCGAGCGCGTAACGTCCGATTCATAGAGCACAGCAGAAAAGTGCCACTTTCGGGATCACTGTCACCATAAGTGACCGTACTTTATTTAACCTCGGACGCGCCATAGAGTACGCGGCAAGTCCCAAAAGCTAGACCAGGCAGGGTTGCTTGATGCTTTGAACAAACATCCGCAGTTATATGGCTGTAAATCCGCCCAATAAGAAAAAATTAACTTTCCAAGGGAAATTTGAATTTGCATTAAAATAATTGTATTTGAATTCTTGGCTGTCCGGGAGACGCCGCGTCGTTGGCTGGGGTGCCGACGTTTCGCCCGACATTTCGCAGGCTTCCTCAGGGTAGTGACACTGCGGCGCTACGCGCCCGTTGATTTAAACTATTTAATTAAATTGTATTTGAAGTTTTTTGAGGTAGTGACCTTACTAAATGCTTGATTAGTTTTATTTTTTTTTGTTTGTGAACATTGTAATTAATAATTGATGTAAAAACAAAATACTTTTTGTAACAATAAATTATATATTAATATTTTAAAATTATTTATGGCAATTCTTATGACTACAGCAGATGAGAGGAGTGCTTAAGGGGATAAAATAATTATTTTCAAATGAGATCATTTTATTTATCATTGTTATCTCATAGTTTTTGGATGATTGTAGCTAAAATTATACGCAAAATTCATTGGTAGGGTTCACCTCCGCAAGCCACCTGACAACTTCCACAGAATTTTCGTCGCTAGCCTCTTCCATGTTCTGTGTTTCTGGGCACGATTCTGGTGTTCGCAAATACACAATGTGTATACCTGCTTGGAAAAACGCACAAGCAAGTTGGAGTGAAACCAGTGCAACAATATGCTGGCGGTAACACCGTACTTCCAAAAAGATGGCTTATTTTAAATGATGTGTTCTAAAATTAACTGTACTGCCAATGTGATATTATATTTTATGCACAACAAAAACTCTATGACTTTTAGAACACACACTAGAGGTCTAAAAACTAACATTACTCATTTCTCGTAGTAAATTTGAATGAATTTATTCCTGATTTTTCACTAATAAATTATTACATAAAAAAACTCATTGTCAACGTCGTTGTGGTTGTTTTTTTGAAAATTGCAGTGGAGTCTGAAAATCCGACCAAAACCGCACATGTTTTTATGCATTTCCACCCATTGGGCGGTATTCCGCGAAGTCAATTTTTGTCCCGCGAAAGAGAGCCGTTTTCCAGCCCCAAAAGCGGAATTCCGCACAACCTGTCGACCCGGAGCCCAAGCCAAAGAAATTAGAAAAATAACTAGTACAATAAAGTCAGTGCCATTCTGTTGCACCACTAATTCTTTGTATTATGCAATTTAATTTTTGTCTCAATACGGAGCGTATCTTTAGTGAATAGCCGTGATAAACACTTCATTAAAATTATTTTAAGATTATTTCTTTAGTTGCCCGATATCACCCTCCACTTTTCAGACATGTAAATTGTGAACGATTTTTTCTATCCCCTAATGAACATATTATTTTACTTTTAAACCAATTAAATTTGATAGAGTGTGGGCGTTAGGGATTAAAGTTTCATTTTCTGTATTTTACAACTAATTTCAACTAGTAACCTTAATTAAGAAATCGTATTTAAAACTAAGGTGACCGATACAAACCCGACCTTTCCCTACTACTGTGGTGTAACGAAATAAATGTAGACCTACCTGCAAATCATTTATCCAGGCCCTCTTTATAAAAGTGAATAGCACACACAAGAAGTGTTTGTATCTTAAATAATAAAAATTCCCCTAAACATAGGCCCTCTTTTAACCGGGCCCGCCCGCAGTGCGGGCCTTGTGGGACCGAACGTTACGTCACTGCCCTACTAATCCAAGGTAACCTGCGTGTCGTGATACCCTTCGGACATTCTTTGGGGATACAGTTCCCCTGTTGTTGAAACCACCCACGGAGTCATTTTAACGGCACTTTGACGGAGATTCCTGCGGATGTGATTGATAATATTTCTTTTATCCCGTTTGTTGTGTATCGGATTTCGACCTTTATCCCTTTTATTGTTAAATCTGCCGTCGTACTTGAGTTTGTCTACTATATGTTCAATAGTTGAATGAGGTCTTCCCACTGTCTTCGCAATTCCTCGTAGTGATCTCCCCCTCATGGCTAAATTAACAATAAATCTTCGTTCTTCCACCGTCGCGACGGTCGTGTCTGTCACGTCGTGTCTGACGCGTCGTGTCTTTTTTCGGGTTCATTTTCAGTGCAATTTTGCTCTCCACAAATCTGACTCGACTACTGTGTTTGTCACTACTTTGTGCCTCGGGAAATATTTCAAAGGGTACGTTTCAAAGCTTCTGATGGTTTACATTCATTTCTGTGAAACGCTTATTTGTAGTAACACTCAAAATATGTAATTTTACACTTAATAAAGCATTTTCTGCTTTCAAATTGCATTAGTTCTTCCAGGAAAACTCAAATATCAAAATTCTAAATTTTATATCTAGAAGCATTCAAACTGAAAAAAATGCATGTAATATATATTCAATAAAAAAATTCAAGTATCATTAACGGTGTATACAGTAAAGGTGTACGATTAATTATGAGAGGCACTGTAATTGTAACACACATATTTAAATAAGTTAATATTTTGCACATTTGATACATATTTGGGATTTGGGAATCATGGTCCTCATGACCCGCCTGGATCCGCCATAGAGGGACTGAACCCCTACAATGGGTGCCTAAGATTTTAGAATTATAACCTTTCGCAGGTCATAAATGGCACCGCGGGACGCTTGCGGCCCGCGGGGCATCAGTTGGACAACCCTGGTATAGAACGATCATGGTCAAACGCGATCAACACTCGGCTTGGAGAGAGAGGGGTGTGCCAGGGCAGGGCATATAGGGACCACGAAGTATACAAAGTCCTTGAATACTTCGCCATGGGGACTGAGACCGAAAAATGGTGTGGGCAATACGTGCAGGTCCTTGTGATTCATTATAGGCTTGTGACGAGGTTACAGCCGCTTGCCGCTTTTAAATCTCTGATATTTTCTCACACAGTCGGCCAAAGACCTTCGTATTTTATTACTCAGAAAAATAGTTATCAACATGGGAAGGGTTTCGAATGTTTGTAGTGCGTAGCGAATTCACGAACTGAGCGCTGTAAATTATAAAAAAGATAAATTTTTAGTAAAAAAATAACCAAACGTTAAGTGGAATTGGAAAAGACTCATTAAAACTGTGAAAGAGGCCACAAGGACTCTGCTTTTGAAACTCTAAGCCAAACCCTAATAAATAAGATAAGATGGGCGGCATAGTTCAAGCTCCCCCACTCCGTATTTTCAAGTTGGTGCCTCTGTTGAGTCCATTTCCTTTCGTGCTATTATAGACTCATTAATATTTTTATGCATCCATAATGCAATGTGCAAAGATGTTTCATGTACGAAGGTAACAGCAGATAATCACTGGTAACAACAGCGAAACATTTGAGAAGCCCGCGCTTGTCATGTACTATTCAGTTTTGCCAACCAAAAGTGATTGATATTATTGAGATTGAGACAATGTCATTTACATGTACTCAAAATGATCATGTGGCGGTTAGCAGAGAATGACAGTTCGTAAAATCTCGAAGTTTGGTTCAGTAAAATGTTCTAAATATGATTTTCCGTAAGTCTTGGACAGTGAGATAGTGATACTTGATAAGTATTTCGCTCAAACTACTGTGCTAAATGTCACGTTTCATACCAGTGTTACCTGGTTGATTTGATGAGATAGAATGACGTGAAATTACCGTATCGGTTCCCTCATTCAAGTTCCATTATGATTAGATAATAATGAAGTAAAATCTGTTGAGAACTTGAGTTGTCCATCGTTTATTCGTTTCGCAATTATCGTTTTTCGCTTCTGCAAAATGAACAAATATATATTTAACATATTATGTACTGTTGCTTTTACAGTAAGTATTTTGACTACGTTGGACTTCGATTTATTGTTCATAATATATCCAGAAACTTGGATTATGAATTCTTAAAAATAAATCAATTGTATAAGTAAATTACTGATCCAAATATTTTATTTTTTTTCCAAGTTTTGTAATTCAAGCCTTGCTTATTGCTCATTTTCAATTAATAATTAGTTTTATACTTATTTTTTTCTCTATTGTATCATAATTATTTTTCATCCCTCTCAATAAAATGGTTTCAATTTCTTTGCTTTTGTTAAATAAGGAAACAATAACCATAAAGTTAATTTTTTTCTGATGTCAACGCATCAGTGTTACATAATATTTGTTGTTCATAAATTTATTGCTGCTGCATGTTTTCTTAATCCATGATAACTACATGTCATTTTAGCTGATGTATTTCTGTAATAATTAATATGATTAACAATTATTCAATATCAATAAACTAAGATAACATTATTTTCCTCAAGGATATACAATTTTGTTGAACCAGATTCTACATGTTTTCCATAATTACATTTTTAGGACCTTGTGGCCATCAGCCTTGTTGTGCCTTTGATGGGGGCACACTTGAGATCCCTTGGAATGTCTCATTTTCTTATTGGTTTATTAGGATCTGCATATGCGGGTTTACAACTAATTACTAGTCCAATAATTGTGAGTAGACCAATTTAAATAAATTTTTCCAGTATTTTGTTATATATTTTCAGTATAATAACAAAATAACAAAACAGTTGAACCAATCTGTATTTATGACAAGTTTTTGTTCAGGGGAGTTGGAGTGATGTTCAAGGACATCGTTTAATTTTCATTCAAACTATGGTCATTTGTTCTCTGTGCTATCTCCTTTGGGGATTCACAACATCCCTTGGTGTCATTCTCTTGATTAGGCTTGTTTTAGGTAAATGTCATAATTTTCTAAAATAACATGAAAAGAAGTTATGATGTATAATTTTTGTCAAATTACTTTTGCTTTTTGTTCTGTTGCCAGGTTCATTTAAACACACACAAACACTTTGCAAAGCCTTAATTTCATACACTGTTCCTCAACCTGAGCAAGCAGAAGCTTTCGGAAAATTGAATGCAATGGCTGGAATTGGTTTTATGATTGGACCTATCATTGGAGGGCATATGGCTGAATTGGAAAATGGATTTTTATATATTTGTTGTTTAGTTGCATTCACTTTATGGATAAACATAGGTATTTGTCTTGTTTTTTCCACTAATTTTCATGAGTAGTGTGATTGATTGCAATAGTGTTTTATTTTGCAACAGTTTTTATTATTAACAAGACATATTGTATGTTGCATTTTCAGGTCTTGTTTATATTTTCATTCCTGAACATATATCAACATCTAAGCATGAATCACATGTTGAAAATAAATTAAGAAAAGAAAGAGAAAATTCACTGAAGGTGCAGTTTATGTCTTCTTTTTCATTGCTTAAGAGTGTTGATTGGATAAATTTTTGGGATTTATTCACTCTGAAGTTTTTGGTAACATTTTGTCAATCATTGTTTTTTTCTAATTATGGTTTATACATCCAGGATGCCTTTGGTGTAGGTCCTGTATGGGTGGGTTACACAATATCCTTTCAAGGAATGATAGGAGCCCTTTCTAGCGTCCTCATTAGTTATTTAGAGAAATTTTATCATACGGATCCCACCTATAAGGTTCGAATGTTCCATGGTTTTATTCTTTTTACTATATCATTTTGTATACTTAGTTATGCCCCCAGTTTAATCTATTTTATTTTAGGTCTTGTTCCTCTCAGCTCTAGTGGGGCTTTTTTGCGGGTTGTGGGAATGGAGATACTTTTGCAAAGGACTGATGCTGATAAACGGGGTTCTCTGATGGGGTCAAGCAATAGTGTATCTTCAATTGGTCGACTAGTGGGACCTGTGATTGGGGGATTAATCCGTGATCTTGCAGGGGCACAGGTAGTTTTTATTCTTATACAATTCATCTCTGGTTGTGGAGCAGTTTTAGCATATTACTTTCTCCACAGAAAGGTACCAAATAAATATGAATGAATTTCCTTCTCAGTTTGTTTTAATATTCAAAATATTATTGTTTGTTATGAGGTTACTTGTAGAGGAGAGATTTATAAGATCTGGATGAAGTTACGGAAATGTTTTGATGTAATAGAGTGATTTTTAGTTGAAAGAGACATAAAGTAATTAAATCACGTTTCATCACTTTCATATTTTATAAAATTCTGTGAAAACACTACATTCCAAACTCATAAGAATAGCTTATGTATGGTTGAAAGTAGTTCTGGAAATTTAATGAAAATATGCAAGAAGTTGGTATTTTGGGCCCTTCCAGACTTTGCAGGACTGAGCTCTGGAAGAAAAATTACTTTCAAAATAGAAATAAATTAATATTTTTATTTCCAAATGTGATTTTTTAGCATGTAATGAGATAATTGTTATTATTTTATTTTTAATATGGGTTTTAATAAGGGTTCTCCACTCAACCTCCATTCAAATAGGTGAAAAATGTACTGATTTATTTAAGATGAAACCATTATGTTCATCTCTCTCTCTCTTGGGATAATGTAAGCCACTGCATAAACACAGGGATCCTTTTACTTTTTCCTGACTCCCAGTGGTGATGGAAATAAATTTTAAATAAACACTGAAATTAACGTTGGTGACTTTGGGATAACAGCATTCGGACACACAAACATCCATGCCCCAAGTGGGATTCAAACCCGTGTCCTTTCAGGTCCAAGGCAGCTACGGCCCTTCAACCTTAGAAACCTCCGCTATCCACGCGAGCGAGACCATGTTTATTTCATTGAATATTTCCTAATAAAATTACTGATCATATTTTAAAAAATACATCAACTCTTTGTAGTAAGAAAGCAAAATGCTACTGAAATCAAATTTTTCTAGCAATTTATGTTTTAGTACAAGATGTCCCTTCTCCTTCAAAAAACACTTCTTGTCATTGTTTCATTTCCTGTCATCTTTGTTCAGTCCCTTCAGGTAAATGTAGCTTTTTTGATTTTAAGATTTTTGCTTCACATAATGTTTGAATTTTTTACCTAAAATAAGGTTCTAAAACTTGAGCATTTAAGAACTTTATAAAGAATTAATTGCAGTATTATACTTTTTATAGAGCTTTTTTGTGAACAAATTATTATGCATTGATAAATAGTATCCTGTATTAATGATATTAGGAGATCTGTACTAGAAATCTGAGAAAAAACAGTAATTGCTTTTCTAAATTGAAGTTACTGTTCTAAGCAATTAAAGAAATGTAGAGATTTTATGGAGTCAATCAACACTGTAAAATAAAGTTTGATCAGTTGTTTTGAATACTTGTTTCAGCATTTTTAAGGAGAAGATATCACCTCTCTTCAATTGAATTAAATTGTTTTATTTAATTAAAATCCATTCAACATTCCAATCACACATTCTAATTTTGGAAGGTAAAAAAAGGAAGAAATAGATAGTGGTATGTTTACAACTTTGCAATACACTTAAAGCTTTTTTTAAGAAGACCCACCAAGTTTTAATAAAATAAGGGTGGTCTCATTTTAAATTAGGTCTAATCAGGAAAGGAAAAAACAGAAAAATATCAATTAAACAATAGTGTAATCTTGTTTTCATGGTCATTGATAGTAGATCACCTTATAACTTTGGTTTCATTAGACAGGAAGGTAGAATCATCATCTTCATCACCATCATGAACTAATAGAGGTTTGGGTTTACAGTATTCTTGGTCTTCCATTCAGTCTTCCAAGTGTTCTTGCTGTTCTCCATTCCTTAGTACTTTGTATGGCAGTCTCTTGTTAGTGCCGGCAGAAGGCAAGGGCAGTCTAGGTGATTGCCTGGAGTCCTGAAAGTGATGGATTCCAGGAATTTTAGGAGGAGGGAGTAAAAGGGAAATACAAATAAATACATATTTAGAGAGAAATTTGTAAAAAAAAAAGAAAAAACAAAAACACATAGTTTTTTTTTAAGTTGTGGTAAACTAGTCTGTTAATGCATTATTGCTAGTCATTACTTCATCATATTTTAAAAAAAAAGATACTAAGCATATACTTATTTTTCTATTTCGTTTTTTCAGGGGTGTCTTGGATTTCAGTTTTGCCTGAGGCCCAAAATTGTCTTGCTCTGGCACTGGGGGTTCACTCGGTTTAAGTGATCTTTCCAATGAGTGTGTTCTATTTCTCTAACATATCTTTGATTTTCAGTTTCTTTCTAATATCTTTATTTCTAACATTATGTCTGTCTCTTCTTCTGATTCCCACTATGTGTCATAAGAATTTAATATGGCCCACCTGTCTTGTAAAATCTCTCCTTTAATTGTTCCAGAAATATTGTTGTGCATTATTTATTTTGTAGGCCTTTCTGAATATGGTTGAAGACTTGTGTGATATTTCTGAAGTAAGATAATTTTTTTATTTGTTCCCGTTTCTTTATTAATTTCAAGTTTGTCTCTCCTTTATCTTTTCCCTTGAAATCCCATTACTTTTGTTTTCTGTATTATTGGTCCACGTGTGTCTATTCAAAAACTACTCTTTGTAAATCATCTTCTGTTATGATTATCAGGTCATCAGCATACAAGATACAATATATCTTTTTAGATTTCCTGATTTCTTATAGCCTAGATGGTACAAATGAATGTACAAATCCTTGTCATAGGCCTGTACTAATTGTTATTGCTGCAAACATTCTCCTGTCTCTTAACATTATTTTAATTCTCGAGTTCTTGCATAAAATTTGGATTGCATTGAATAATTGATTTGTTATTTTTTGCTTTTCAAGTATATCCCAAAGTTTGTGTCTGTTTACTTTGTCATATGCCTTTTTGTAATCAATAAATATTAAAAAAGTTACTAGATTCGTTTGCCTAATAGCATTTGTAGTGGAAAGACAGCTTCTTTAGTGCTTCCCTTTTGAAATCCACATTGCTCTTCTTTCTTCTTCATGGAATTCGTAACTACTTCATTGAACCTGTTTCTCAGCCAGTCTTAGAGGATGTTGACAACAATGTGAAACACCTAAAATTTTCAAGCTTCTTGGAACTTTGTTTGTGGACAAGTAGAATCTACCATACTGATATCTGTGAATGCTGGTTGACATATTTCAGATTTTAAAAAATGACAAAGGCTGTTTATCTTCATTTTGTCTGCATGGTGTGAAATTCAGTAAAAACATCCCTATTTAGCTAGAGCTAGAGAGGGGGGATTGATTAATGTCAGAACTTCTGAGTTTTTAGTTTTAAGAAATATCAATAGTCCTAATGTTATTGTTATTGTAATAATGTTTCCTCTACAATGTTTTCCCAAAATACTTATTTCAGTATTTATTTTAACTTATTTGAAACATCTAAGTTCTGTTAGTAATGATCTATGAAACATAATAATAGATGCACTGTATTCATACTTTCTGGGAATTGTACTCTGCAATAATTGGACTTACTTTAACTGCTCAACAATCATCTGACAAGATTAATATGTGATATCCTGGGAAGAAAGGTCAAAATAGCAATTGGTGGCAAAGAAGATAGGTTATAAGAACATGTTTGACTCGTTATCCTTTTAGGGAGTAAGTATCAAGTTTAATTTCATTAGCTCACAGCTGAATATGTATTAACGTCAAGCTAATGATGTTAGCAAACGTAAAGCACAGAGATGGCACAAATTTGGGAGGGCAGGAAGAAATAAAAGGGAAAACAAAGCAAAAGACAATGTAACATTGTCTCATTTCTGAATGGAAAATCATTGAAGTACCTTGTGACATATTTAAAGAGTGTTTGATTTGTTGTGCGGCTTGCATAGTCAAGTGTTGGGATTAAGTTTGGGCTCATGGAATGGTGGATTTCAGAAATATTTAGTATGTTAATACAAACATTTTTATAATGTCCACTTTCATTAGTAAAAGATTATTATAATTAAAGTTGTTCAATTTGTTGTATTTTTTTCTTAACCACATAAATGATTCATTCTTTGTTGAAAGTCAGATATAATGTGTTTGTAGAATGGGTCATCTATACTTTCTGTATTAATTTAATGGCATCTTTTTTCATTTTTGGAAAGAAAAATGTTACTACTTGATCAAAATATTGTTTTACCATTGACTCAAAGAATTTTTTTTCCAATTTTGAATTTGTATGCACAAATACTCTTAATCACTCACATTGCACATGACATTTAGCACATTCATGATGAATGTGTTAAATGTCTTGAGGTTCTGAGGAGCTCATTCCTGGCTAAGAGTTTTCTCCATTGTTATGTACTCTCAATATATTGGTAGATACTAGAAGAACAGTAAGCAATTTAATTGTACAAGTCAGGGTTAAAGTGTTCCTAAATAACTGTTATGACAGTTCAAATTTGTATGTAATTGTAGGTCTAGTCTCTTTGATTGTGGCTCGCAAAACATGTTTGAAATGTTTGTGATAAAATTCATGGCTCATAAAAGTACAGTGTATGTGAAAGAGTTTTGTTTTATTATCATTTTATCCTTTAACTTTGTTAAATAAGATTATCGTTTTATTTTATTTTGCATTTTTGGCATCCAATACATGTAGTGTTTTGTGTTAAATTTATTTTTATTTCGTTGATTGTACTAAAATTGAATTGCAGATTTCATTAAAACTTGTTTAACACATTTTGAAAATGCCAAATGCCTTTAAACATTTGTTCTCATCACAAATATTTCAAACGGGACATTTGTAAATATTTTATAAATTTGTTAAGAATGAATGTGATTTCAAAAATGAGTGGGTATATATAAAAAAACACAATATTTTACCACTTAAAATAATTTCTTGGTTACAAAACAATGAAATATTTACAGCAAGTTTTTACAGGAATAATTCAAGTGGTGTGTATGTCACAAAATCAGGCGTTCTGGTGTTGTGTCAAAACCTTTTGCTTTATTTGCTTCTTTGAATGACACAAAGTCACAAGAGCTTGTGATGGAGTAAAATTCTGAAATATATTATAAAGAAAATATATTATTATTGTTCATAACAATATGTCATTTTTAAGACACTGACAGCAAGTTATACACTATGTGATAATTTTTTACTATATGTACAAAATGTATTTTAAGAAGTTCTGTACAAAATGTTTGTAATAAAATATACAATGTTAATTTAACTGGTGATTATACACCGTTGAGATCTGATTACAAAGTTGATTAGAAGGAAAGATTCAAAAAATCCTCTTTCTTAGAAAGAAGGTAAAATCTGTTTTATGTATGCAAAATCTCTTTTGGTCAAAATCTTTCATTTACTTTTAGGCCGGTCTCCTGATCTTTCCTGAAAAAATATGATTTATTCCTTTGAGATAGTTCAACTCAATGACATTCCATAAGTCTCAAATACCATTTTGAATTTTATGGAAACTATATAATTCTGAGTCAAGTTTATTGCAATAAAGGATTACAACTCAAAAATAATTCTAATTTTTGGTAGTATCTTTTTGTTTATTTTGATATTGAACTTTGGATTCATGAACATCCATGAATTAATTTACTGAATCAGCATAATAGAAATGTGGATCACTTATCTTTCTGATAATAGTAAGATCTTTGGATACCAAAAATTATTCGCTATACAATGAATTCAATCTACATCCACGACAGGAAGGTCGTCTTCACTTTTTTCACTTTCGCAAGTTCCCAATTTACATCAAACAATTGTGAAATAGGCATCATTAACTATGAAAAAAGTACGGATAGCCTCCAGTGAAATAATATGAACAGTGCGCCCAATACCGTTTCCGAACGGAACTGCTAAAGCGAAGTGTTGATGGAACCATTATTTTGGAAGCGATTTTTGTTCTTGTGGCACACTACTGTAAATCTAAATCAAAATAAGTAAGTGATTTTGGTAGATGAGAACTTAACATTTTCTTCTTTTATAACCCTGTCATTGGCATTCGCAACAAACCGATGCTCAGGCGTCAGCTGGTGCATCTCTGGAACTCGTGACCGTGAAAGTGCAAGGCTGGTTACTTCACTTCCGGCTTGGCTTCAACGATGTTCCTGGCTCGGAAGAGGAGGATTGCCTTTGGCATGTGAAAGAAGAAAGCATGAAGGTTATTGAACTTCATCCAATAACTGAGGAATGAAGATGTTGCTTTCTCTTCACTAATTTACGTTAATCAGTTATCTATACTATTGAATCCTTGAAAGCATTTTTTCGGAGTGAAATTGGTATGCTTCATTTTTATTTTTGCTTGTCATTTTCTTCGTAGGTAGACAAGAAAAAGTATTCGTTTCGGCATTTGGGTATGTTAACGGGGGTGATGTATATTTTTCGTAAACCCGAGGATCTGCATACGGCAGTATACAATATTTCACGAATGCCATGTGAATTCTTGAAACATAATCACTGCATTATATAAAGTCATCATTTTATTATATCGACAAATTCTATTATCGAACTTGTTTCTAGTTCCTGTTCACGCTTGGTGTCGAGGATCATGGTGTTCATAAATAAAGTTTACATAATATTTCTCTGTGTCCGTGGAATGTGTCATATTTACACATCTTGACAACAAGACAGGAATGGGGGTGTGCGAGGCAACAGCTCTTTTCACAATTAAGGGTCACCTCCAATACATCTTGCTTGGGTACTTCCAACGGTGGATGCGTACGGAACACAATAGGAACTGAAGAACTAATTCGTAGCTGAGCGTCGTTCACATCATGAAGTACTGCTGCGAAACCGCTGCCAACACCTTTAAAGCACATAAAACTAACCAGCAGGGAGGAAACACCACTGCACGCAAGGGAAGAATTATCGTAGGTACTTCTCTTCAGGAGAAAGACGAATGGGAACGATAACAATCGCTTAGACATAATGGAGATTACCAGTTCGGTCAGTTGATCACAGAACTGAAGATACACCCTCTTGAAAAAATAACACATTCCTTCACGTCCTCGTATCTTTGGTCCTATTATTTCCAAATCTGAGTAAAAAAAAAATTGTCCTGACAACAGCCAGTCACATTAAACATATAAAATATGCAGCACAAAAACGACGGACTAGAAGAAGCAAATTAACTTCTGTGGTGTCGAGGCTGATGTTATAGGGCAGGCGCTACTACTCGCAGTATCGTCAACTTTCTTGTAAAACTCAACTGTCGAGTGAGATGAAAGCCATCTCAGTTTTGTTGTTTGTTTGTTTATTTTTACAAGGAAGCTGGAAGGGCGCCGAAAAAGTTGCAGGCTGGGGCCACTGCAAAGCAGTGACGTTGAAGGTGCGGGGCGGTTGCTTCAATGCATTTCACGCAGCTGCTTAGATGCTCAGCGAAGGTCGCTTCTTTCTGTCGGTGCCGGTCTTGCCCGCACCACCTCCAGCGTTCTTACCGAAAATGTTCCCCAGCACCTGCAACACACATCCAAACGCCACATGAGAATGATGTTCAAAATCATCGAATAGCAACATCTCTTTATCCTCCTGCCTAATTTCGAAATCAGTATACAGTATTCAAGTAAAACTCTTGAGTGTGTAGATGTGCGTATAGATGAGATTCTATTGATTTGTATTGATTAAATACCAGTACCCAAATCATATGTTTATCAAAATACGCCATACTTTTCTTTCACGGCGTTGGCAATACTGTTGTTGTGAACTATTGAATTACCAAGTTAATCGCGCTGCGGATTGATTTGAATTTAGATTCGAATTAACGTATTTTTAAATATAAATTTGCGAAAACCTACGAATAGTATATCATCGGAACAAAACTGTAATGCTAGAGAATGAATGAACGTTCGATTTTTCGATTTCTCACTCTTACGTCCTTACAAAAGTGTGAAAAACCGATTTTCAAATGAATGTGGCCCACAACTTATGTTTACTAAAATGAAATAACTCCGTATTCATATAAACATACAAAACATTCTCCTTTTAATGTTATGTTTGAATGCTACGCTAGATTCGCATACAAAACAATTAATAGAACAATTGCAGATGTAGAAGTGAACACAAATAAGTGTGTAAAGTTTCAATCTCTTAAAAAAATAGGGGTGAAAAATATGGAAGTGTTAAGGAAATCCGGGGAAGAATCAAATGTGGTTGTACAAGATGTTGCGCCAGAATTTTCGGAACTAATTGGGAATGAACTGCATTTGTGCATTTAGCAAAAAAGCTTAAAAATGTAGTTTCCGCAAGCCAGGAAAAGATCCTCGACGTCCTGAACATTACAGACCAATAAGTCTCCTTCCCTCAATTTCCCAAGATTTTTGCAAGGCTTCTACAAAGAGACTAAACAAGTACTCTGAGAACACGGATGCAAATACCAGAATATTCAATTGTTTCAGAGCCAAATCCACTCCTGCACTTCACTCGCCTGCCTAAGGCTATCTGAGTTACATTGCACAGAGCTTCCAAGCAGAAAAACATACCTTGGCTGCATTTCTGGATATTGCACAACGGCGTCACGGACACGAGTCTTGGCATTACGCGTCTGTTATTATAAAATAAGACAACTGGAGTCCCTGAGTTATTCAGAATTTATTAAAGGCTTATCTCTGATAGAAAATTTAAGTTCAAAATTAATCACTCCTTTTCTACTCTTCGTATGATCACAGCCGAGTTCCTCAGGCTCAGTTTCTCTCACCTACTTTTATTTAATATCTCGTGAGTGACATACCCAAGTATTCCAAGTGAAAACTGCTCTTTTCGACTGACGATACTAGCACCTGTTTTCAGCAAGCTCAATATTAACTAGCCAAATATATAGAGTCAGAATGAATATTAACATCCTTCATACTGGACAAAAAATGGAGAATCGCAATCATTCTCAAATGTCAGACTTAAGATATTTACTCCTTAGGAGGACTCCAAAACCCTCCCAATGAGAAATAGATGACCACACGAAATACCTTGGAAAACTGAACCAATAAATGTATCTTGGGAGTATTGTTAGACAAGAACACTTCCCTGGAAAACCGCAATATTCACGCAGCTATCAACACATCAATGCTAAATATTAAAACTATACCCTTTATAACATCAACATTCAACACTCAATACCAAATGCCAGATTTCTTTATTATATAAATCTATTATCCCTACCCAACACTCACTTATGCTGCCCAGTGTGGGAAACGCTGGCTTCCACCACCATTACAAAATATGGCAAATTGTCCCAAATTAAAAGTCCTCAGAAAATCAATTAAAAGCTCACATGGTTTATACCTACGCAACAAATTCACAAGAACTCCAAATGGAAACAGTGCTCGACACATTAAAAAAGTAGGCAAATAATTTCTATTCTTCCTTCCTTCATCTCATTCCGCCTGAAATTTCACCTAGGTCGAACAGCAAACATCCAAGCGAATTCAAATCCCAAATTTTCCGCAAAGACATGCTTCAAACCCCTAAACCAAATTAATATTTCATCCCGTATCTAAATAGAATCTTTCCGTTCCTTCTATTGCTTCGTAGGGCATCTAACAACTCTACCCGCCCGCCCCCGCCCGCGCCGCCCCTCTCCCCCCGCAAAAAAAAACATCAAAAATAAATTCCCAGCTGCTTTACAAGCAAACCACGAATTAAACGAGTCAGAGTATCTAGATCTCAATTTGTTCGGAAGCCCAAATCCAAAAATGTCGTATGAAAAGCAAACCCCTCGAAAGACCTTTGGTCGAACGAGAAGAAATAAATTTAAATAGTACTAAATAGCATCACAACCTTCAAGTATTCGTTACGGCGATTATAAATTTGAAATTGCAATAAGACCAGTTCATATCCCGTATGGAGGTAACACACAAGGCTATTGGGAACTCATGATCGGGAGTACAACATTATCGGCTACTACGATTCATTGGTAAGTCCAATGCCCGATGGCCTTGACGCCCTGTGCGCTATGCCTTACCTGACCCGTGGCGCACGACTGGGAGGAACATGTCTTGGGGCGTCATCTGCCTCCCCCCTCCCCCAGAAGCCGACGGAACGACACACATTTAAAATTAGTATTAGGAAAATTAAAAAAAAAGAATTTTCTTTCGCTGGTAATATGTACTATTTGTTACTTTCTCGTCTTACTAAGTACGCACTAAAGAGAGAATTGTAATGGTGCGGCGGAAATTGCGATTTTTCGTCAGTGAAGCTCCTATTTTCGGGCCTTTGGAACGAAATGGATAAATCTTGCTCCTTCTAGTAAATTACTTCCTCTAACTCGTTGTGCAGTCAGAATTGTGTGGGTCTTTGATACCTAAAAATCGATTGACTGCAAAACGTCCGTCCGTCCGCCTATATCTCTCTGTGGCGGCCAACGCCAGTCTTTAAATCGTTCAGACAGTTTTCTTCAAAATTAACATTCCCCGATCGATCTGAACGAACTCGAGAACTGCGAGTTTGAAACTGATATATTGATTTTGGATATTACTTTACATGATGCCTCAACATATTCAAAATTTTCTCATAAAAGGTTCCAATTTTTTGATTAAATTTTGTCCTCTGATAGAGTAAAAGACTCTTAAAAATCACACAGATCACACTTTGTTTTAAATTATGAATTTTCGAAAATGGCAGAAGTTCAAATTTATTTTTCAGCTTCTTCCTACAAAACATATTAAAGAGAGAGATTTTTCCTTCAAATGAAATGTGTTCTTCATAATTTGTTCTTTCATTAATGTCATGTACATTTTATCGCCAATTTGAGTAGTTTTAACGCAATATTGAGTGAAATACTTGTATTAAAAATTATCGAAAACAATTTCCCAAAAATAGCTCAAAATTTATTCTTTAAACTTTTGGTAGGGATAGACATAAATATGTAGTAATAGATAAATTAAACGCCACTTTGATCTATTCTTTTGTGTTTTCGAAAATTACGCAATAGTAATACAAAGATACACATAGTGATTTCACATAGTAATTTTTTGACATCTCTCTCGCGTCGTTAATATTTACACTAACGGCGATTTGTACACATTATCGAAATCGGTAAGGCAAATGCTTCAAATGATAAAGTTTCTTGAAAACTAAAAAGTTTTCTGGGAAAATGTGTTCAAATTTCCGGATTTTCAGAATCGCTCAAACGCTATTTTCTCAAGAACTGCTCCAACCTTTTTCTCCAAATTTTTGTACCAATAGTGCTAAATGGATTGTAAAAGATGTCATAAAATCCATTTTGCTATATTCTTTTGTATCTTCAAAAAATACACAAATGTATTTTTTAAACGTATATATATTTCATGTTTTGATAAATAAATAGAGATATTGTCAGGTATCAATATTTTAATTCCACTAATGATCATTTCGATCGCGTAGCGATCATCCTCAGAGCTTGCAGCTTCTGGACCGAAAACAAAGTTCTGCAGAATACTTGATACCTGACAATATCTCTATTTATTTATCAAAATAAAAAAGGTATCTACTTCACCAACAATCCAATTAATAATATATTTCATGTCCTTAACGTGCACTTTTCAGCGATTTGTATACATTAACCAATTAGCGAGTGGAAGTTCTTTAAATGACTTCCAATGAAGTTTCTCGAAAACTCAAATGTTTTCTATACAAATTGTATTTTTTTATTTACAGTAACGCTGAAATTACATTAAAAAAATGGCTCCAAATTTTTCAACGGAATATCCATATAGGACGACGTTTTTTTTTCTATAATATTTTAAAGATAATATTTCTATTCCACAATTAGGAAAACAGAAAAATGGAGAAGATTAAAAGAAATGCACTTGTTTTGTAATGTAATGTCTTGTATGTAATGGATATGTACATGTTAATGTCTCCGGTATCCTGTCTCCGGTGTTAATTGTTAATGTCTCCGGTGTCTGGTGCCTTGCCAGATATTGCACCATGCTGTTTGGCTATATTTCTGGGTTTTCTGGTTACACTCTTTCACCCTTCGATTTAACACGGGAACATGCGGCCTTTTGATGGCACAACCAGTTGGTGGCGCTCTCAAGCGCTGTGCGGCGACGAAGGGAATCTTAGGAGAATACCAAAATTCCGTTATCTGACTCGCTGCAAAGTAATTTTATGAATTTCGCTTGTGTTTGAAAGTACACAAGTTCAGTCAATTATTGACGGCATTTAATGCATTATTTATGATGTTTAAAGAATTTGATTTCATTTGATATTAGGTTTATTAATTCAAAATATACACTTGATGACAACGTTGTGTAAAGTTGGCCGTTCTGGAAGGAAGTCCCTTTCTGCCTCTGACGGTGGCTGTATATTGCATATCTCCACCTGCAGTTACAAATTTCAGTCGGAGTGTGCTGGTGGGAATAGGAGTGTGTATGTGAAAGATCTTTATTACAAAATATACCACGGTAGTGAAATTTTGAAATAAAATAATGTTATTTATGTGAAACGTGTCGAAGCAATAGTGCTTGTTGCAATGTGCTGGATCCGAACTTCAGTGCCCAGTGGAAACTGAAGACAGAACCACGTGCGCGGGAGGTCTATATATTATACGCGCACGTTTTCTTGAGATCTGAAATATCTTATCCCACCCCCTTTACTAACGTTAGATAATTAAAGAGTAAACGATAACAAGGGGTGTTGTTGATACAGTACCTGACATTGACACGATGTAAAACGTTGTGTAAGTAAACGTTTCAAAATAGACTTTTATTTAACTTAGTTATAATTGCTTACATTTTTATTACATATTCGTTTTTTCGAGTTTTGGAAATTACATTTCCGTCATTCGGTGGAGGTGCAATCTCCAGTCTGTTGGGGCACCAGCCGTCACTGTGTGTGTGTGTGTGTGTGTGTGTGTGTGTGTGTGTATGTGGTGTACGGAGTGTAAGAGTAGGGTATGGTGAGTTGGTGTATAGTGTATTGTGCGTATGAATGTCGCGCACACACCAGCCGCCACAGTGTGTGTATGTAGTGTACGATGAGTAAGAGATTGGTGTGTACAAGTATGTGGCGAGTGTGTGTATAGTGCGCAAGAGTGGCGCACGTGCGTATGCTGCGTGTGGTGTATGGCATGTGAGTGGCGTGTATGGCGTTCGAGTGTTTTGAGTGTGGGTGGTTTGCGCGGAGTACGGCGCGTGCGTGCGTGCGTGCGTGCGTTTGCAAGGGGTTGTCCGCGTGCCGCGCAGCCACGCGCAGCGCCTCACCTTTCTTTTGTCCCCTCCACAGTATCCCTGTGGAGAAGGGGAATTTATTTTCAATGAATTTTTTAATACGCTGCTGCCTTGCGGCTTAAGCAGCTACAGGCGGGGCTTTTTCTTACAACTAACTTACAATCTAGACCTAAAGTTATCTTAATTGCACTTTGGCATTACTAACTTACACTAAAATCATTTTTCTAGTTCTATTTTATATATTCTACGTAATTATTATTTTATATATAGTTGGTAAATTGTTTTTTTTTCTACATTCACACATCATTCATACTCACCTTGGACACGCTGTTGACGCCCAGCTTGCGGCGGATGGGCAGCGCGCGCAGCATCTGCACGGAGCGCGCCTCGCGCAGCAGCGTCTGGAAGGCGAGCGACACGCCCGCGAAGCTGTCGGCCGCGCTCACCTCGTAGAACTGGCAGCCGAACTGCAGCGACAGCTCCTGCCCGTCGTCCACGCAGATCTGCCTGCGCAGCGCGCACCGCGCCGGTCAGCCTCGCTCGCAATCGAAGCGCTTTTACATACAGCACGTAACGCTAAAGGGGGAGGGCGGGGGTTGGAGGCAGCATTAATCTGCGTTACATAAGGGTGTTCGCTTAGTATTACTACGGGTATATTTTTCAAAAAATTTTAACATTTGCTGAAATAATTCTTTTTATTCAATCTTATACGAAAACTTAAAAAATATAAACAAATTAAATTTTAAAACTTCCACAGCCAGCAAAACGAGAGTTGAAGAAAACGAGCGTATAGTGAAGTTACATTTAGGTCCAAAGGAAAACAAGGGGTCTTTTCAACATTTGTCGAACGGTTCAGGGAAAGTTGATCGAGATGGGGATCATTGACTCAGAAGGTGAAGTACATTAGGTATATTTAGGCCTTTTAAAATTATACAGTATTCATGTAAACTAATTTATAAATATAATTGTTAAAATAAGTATTATTTTTCTTTTTTGATGATTAGTATACCTAACTGTGTAGATACAGTCCTTCAGCAGAACATATTCTACCTGACCCTTAAAATTTACTATCGATTTTAATTGTTCAATGTAAATTGTTAACAGAATTTCCACATTTTCAAAACCATTAAATACTCATAATGATAGTGTATTTAAATTAAAACCTACATAATGTTGGTACTTTAAATAGTGATTGTCCACTAAAGTGTACATTTTCACTATTACTAAATTTCCAAATACGAACAGAACAACAATGAGACATTTCGTTTAAAATATATTTTCTTGTGTTTTCAGCTTTTAAAAAAACACTGGAATCTGAGATTGAATATTAAAACAATTGAAACAGTCAAAACACACATCGTCGACGCACAAGCAAAGGGACACATCTAAACTAGCGGTACTTTCTCGCCTATACTTTCACGGAAAATTACGCGAAAAGGACAAAAATTTCCGAAAAATTATACGATGTGCACGTTTCGTGTTAGTTAAAATCCCTAATTTTTCGAAAATTGCAAAAACTCAAAAATGTTTCGGCGTCTTGCAACAACTAAAATATTAAAGATAAAGATTTCTCCCTTAATTAAATCAAGTTCTTAAAGGTATATTTTGAAATAAAGTCAAGTACAATTTTTCCGAATTTTGAATTTTACAAAAAATGATGAGATGTGTTCAGTCGAAAAAAAATGCGGTGTTAATAGTTTTACGTAAGTATTACTAAGGGCGACAAAGTATGGCCGTTACTAGTTTGATTCAAGTCATAGCGACAGCTGCCGATGGTCGTCTATCATTGCCGTTTTAGTACAATTTACTTAGTCGTGCACTTGACTTAAATCAGCTATTGCTGTTTCATCCAATCGGTAGCTTATATGACGCTACAGGGACGTCACTATGGAGGACGTTCAAGTTCCCGATAGGTTGAAACAGTGAACAGCTGATTTACTCAAGCGCACTTAAATAAATAGTAGTAAAAGCGCGAGCTTCACCTGGAGTGGTCGAGGTCGCGCTTGTTGCCCAGCAGCAGCGCCGTGAAGTAGCTGGGCAGCTTCAGCTGGGACAGCTTGGCCAGCAGGTCGCGCGCGTCGCGGAAGCTGGCGCGGTCCACCACGCTGTACACCACCACGAACGCCTCGCCCCACCGGATGTGGTCGTAGAGGCAGCCCGCCGCCTGCAACACACGCCGCGCCGGCCCCCGTCACTCCAAAGTCCACACGCCCCCGGCCCACGGGGCTGGGGAGGGCAGCATTGCATCCCACGTACTCTCTGGGTTGAACTACAGCACGTGCGAGAGCGTAGGCTTCCGCGGTCGGAGTCAGTATTTACTTGGCTGTCCGGGTGACGCCGCGTCCACGGCAAAGGTGCCGACGTTTCAGTCGCTATTCTGCGACCTTCTTCGGCATTACGCGCTGAGGAAGGTCGCAGAATGGCGACCGAAACGTCGGCACCTTTGCCATGGACGCGGCGTCACACGGACAGCCAATTAAATACAGCATGAGAGTTAATGTTGTGTAATGTGAATGTCGCGAACCACCTGGACCAAAAGAACGTTAAATGCAAAAATGCTTCGCATAATAAATACAGTGATATTTAGGTATCTGCATCGTTATTAGCTTGAAGGAGTTTTTAGCATACTCAGTGTTTCACGAGAGAGTAGCACTAAAGTGGCGCAATACACAATTTTTAAGGAGGTTCGGCATTGCTTTCCTCAAGTAACCAGAAAGTGCCAGAGCATCAACCGGCGCTACGATTGACACTTTTTACAAAATGAAAGTCATTTCTAAGCTCCAAACTCTAGTGTTCCAACCAGAAAGGCGGTACCATAATTAAGGGAAGTTACAAAGTGTTCTTCGACTTCTTCCCCGGGGGAAATTTGAGACCGACTGCTTCTAAAAACCATATAGAGGAGAAAAACTGAATAACTTGGTAACACATTCTATGGAAAAAATAGGGCCTCCAGTTCTTGGAAGGAGGGAGAAAAGGGTCGATACGCTAAAGGCTGAAATAAGTATCACCATTTACTAGTATACGCCAGAGGACGGTGCCGGAAGTTTCAGCCACAAGGACAGACAAGGGTAAGTTTCAGGTAATGATCCATCTGTGACTTTAGAGTCGGCCCCGAGAGAAATCCCTGCTGAAGAAAGAAATCGTGAACATGAAGCAATTTACTTTCCTTGAGCACTCCATAATGAAATATACGTACTCACGTGCCCGCAAATGTGGAGAACTTATCATGAACAAAATAAGCAGCAAGGAGTGAGAGGGTCCACAAACAACCTGTTCGGAGATAAGAAATATAAAGCAAACTGTGAGACCCTTCTCGTCCGCGGCTTTCTTGAAAGCATGTATCGGGAGTAAAGCGTTATAGGCGACATTCACAGATATGTATTTTAGAAGAGATGATATCAAATAGTAAAAATTAAGCACAGTAAAAATATCAATGTATAAGAGATTTTCGTTTACGAATAGATGATTTAATGGTTGGTACAATCTTTGTGCTGCAGTGCTGGTGACTTTACCTTTCAATGAGCAAATTTGACGGTGACATTTAAATAAAAGTAATATGCCTGGGTTCACCTCCAGGCTGTGATTGCCGTCACCAGTTGCGGCGCTCCGCACTAAGGTTGCTAGTTCAAATCCTTCTTGAGGGATGGTTATTTTCACCTTATCATGGAGCTTAAGTAAAAGGAAAATCAACCCATTCGACAATCGCATAATATAAATCATTTAATAAATGTCCAGAAAAATAAAGCATCATATACCTCTATTTTTTGTGTTCTATTTGAGAGAAAATATTTCCATTTGGTAAACGTACATAACGCAAGAAGAGTCTCAAATATACGGGAAGAAAAAAAGACTGTCCATTTGTCGCTGAACTTACGTTTCATTGAAAACAACACAGTTTGGAAGTCAGCCTTGTAACATGCACGCACTTCCGAAACCTCAGGGGCGTCGGGGAAACAGTAACACCTCTAATAAGACATTCTTGAAACCAATCATCTCGCAAAAAAATTTCATAGCGTTATTGCCATTTCACGCACTGAAACATTTCCATCACAAAGTATACGATTCTGAGAAATACACGAGACCGTGATCAAATTATGCGGTAAACTATTCCGGGAGTCACTCTCAACCACACGCCTGGCTCAATGGCGCCAAAAAACCGTCACGCGAAGCTGCTCTGAGGCGAAAACTTGCTTCTTTTATGTTCTACAAACAAGAGGTAAGTTTCGACTACTGAAGTGCTAAATTGTTCTTGAGAATTACCATGCAAGCTATTATTGCATTGCTATATTAGAACTGAGTAATCATTTAACATTAATTATTTCATTGCTGTATTTTGAGTAATACTTTTATTAAGTATATCTGAGTAATAATTTAACATTTTTTAAGTCTCTCTTAGAAATTCGTGGAAATTTGCCAGAATTTTGTCGATACAAAATTGTGGCCTAAACTAAAATTACTAACGGAAACATTACTATTGAAACCACTTTCTTTGACGTCCCTCTGAGTTTTTTCGCTCTCGAGACGCGCATGCTTGCTCTTGTAAGCCTCGGAACACCTACCCCTCATTACTAATATTAGTTGAATTAAGAATAAATGACCAGCATTGTTGACGAAATATAACCAGAAATGTTCGATCCCGTGTAATAGAAATTACTTTGCATCGTCAAACGAGCTAGTACACATAAACCTGCGAGGGTGAAACGGCTTTCTTTTGAAGTCGTAGGCTTCCGCGGCCAAAGTCATGTGGGTGATCTGGGCTGTCCGGGTGACGCCGCGTCGAAGGCTGTGTTGACGACGTTTCGACCATCCTATCTTGGTCTTCATCAGCGCGGCGTCACCCGGACAGCCCAGATCACCTTTTCTTTTGGCCCAGTGCAGGGCGTCGCGGAGAGCGGTGCAAGGCCGCGCACCGCATTAGCATCCGGCGCCCACAGCCTCCTGGCCTCTGCGCGCGGTCGCATTGTTTTCGTAATTAATCGCCGCTTGGGCTCACGCGCGGCATTTTCTCTGAGATAATTCATGCGCGAGTCCCCGTCGCGACCTTCCTCAACCCCTCGACGTCCCCACGTCCCTCCCAGGGAGCGCGCGCGGAGCGGTTCCAGAACAAAAGAGCAGCCACGATTTATGAGTGCTGACAGTAGTCAATTTGTCATTCCGCTCCTTCGGGTTAAATGGGCGTCAATCGGTGGAGTGAAAGAAAAGGAAGAGCAAGAAGGGATTCTGGCCTGCAAAATTACATTTATAGAGGTTTCTGGGGAGCTCGTAGTACATACGACTTGAAGTAACTGACAGTCACAAGGTGGAAATCAGATAAGCAATATATTTGTAATGGAGGGATTACCACAATTCATTTTTATGCATCGAGTATTTTCCAATGAATACGGGGTGGCAGCAGTTTTGACACTAGCTAGATAGTTAGGTCGAGTTCTAGAGGAGAATTCTAGCGGCCGGCTGCTCTGGTCGGTAGTTTTCCGTGGTTTCTCCGATCAACATCACGCAACATCTGAGCAGTACCCTAACAATCAGGCCATGGATCGCACGCGATCTTCCCTTCTTCTGCCTTGTCACACACTCACCCCTCACTTACATGCACTACACTACCACACTTCCCGGGAGCTTAGAACTTGTCCCGGCTGGGGCGGTGATCCGCTAGTGGTGGATACTTGGTGGGGGAAATCGTGATAGCCGACGGATCTCACCATCCAGCAGCGGAAGATGACTTCCTTCAAGCAAAACCATGCGCTACACTTAGGGGACTAATGACCTCAGCCGTTGACTCGCCCGGAATCAATCAGCCCATGAATATGGAAGATCACTGGTTCAAATGTCAATCAATAAAATGTAATTAAAACGGCTTCGTACGCCCCAAATTTAACACCCCAATCGTCATTTTCGCTGTTCTTGGCGCCGCCGTCGCCGCCTCTTCCGTTCTCCTCCACCAGCATCCCCTCCACTCGCGTCGATTGCTCTGAATCAGCGTCCGAGAGTGGCCGGTTTCTCCCATTGTGGCCGCCAGAAAGTAAAACGGCGGTACAGTGCCTCTGCACGCTGCTTCCTGCTCCCCCACCCCTCCCTCCCCTCCCCGCCCCACCCCTTTTAGCAGCCAGCTCGCTAAATGGTAACTTCACGAAACGCGCCCGCAGGCAGTCGTAATACGGATCTCAGCGCTAACGACATTGTAAACAACGCATCGCATAATGGTGGCTTAAGTCAACGAACAGCGCGCGCCTGTGCGAGCACGCCCACAATTGCCGCCGCCGCCGCCGCCCCGGCGCCACCGCCACCGGCGCCGCCGTCTCGCGAGAGAGAGCGAGCGGCCTCGCTTACCGAAACAAGACGTTCTGCATGAATGAATACGAGAGAGCTACTTAAATCATACTCGAGATAAATATGTCAAGATCTTCTCAAATTACATGAATCACGGGCGGGTGGGAAAGCGAAGCGGGAGCAGCCAGGCGCACCCACGCAGACATCGCGCGTCCCCGCCCGCGCCCCGCCCCGCGCCCGCCGCGCCTGCTCGCTCTCCCGCCCGCGCCCCGCCCCCGCCCGCGCCCCCCGCCCGCCCGCGTCCCCGGCCCGCGCCCCCACCCGCTCCCGCCCGCGTCCCCGCCCGCGTCCCCGGCCCGCGGTCCCCGCCCGCGTTCCCCGCCCGCGTCCCCGCCCGCTCCTTGCCCGCGCGCCTGCCCGCGCCCCCGCCGCGTCTCCGCCCGCGTCCTTGCCCGCGCCGCCCGCCCGCGCCCTGCCCGCGTCCCCGCCCGCGTTCCCGCCGCGCCCCCCCGCCCGCGCCCCCGCCGCGCCCCCGCCGCCGCAGGCATCGCGATCCCGTCGTTCCCCACCGCCCCGCCCGCGCCACGCCCGCGTCCCGCCCGCGTCCCCGCCCGCGTCCTGCCCGCGCGCCCGTCCGCGTCCCCGCCCGCGTCCCCGCCCCGCATCCCCGCTCGCGTCCCGCCCGCGTCCCGCCCGCGTCGCCGCCCGCGCCCCGCGTCCCCGCCCGCGCCCCCGCCCCCGCCCGCGCGCCCCGCCCGCGTCCCCGCCCGCGCCCCGCCCGCGTTCCCCGCCGCGTCCTGCCCGCGTCCCGCCCGCGCCCCGCCCGCGTCCTTGGCTCCGCGCGCCCGCCCGCGCCCCCGCCCGCGTCCCCGCCCGCGTCCCCGCCCGCGTCCCCCCCGCGTCCCCCCCGCGTCCCCCGCCCGCGTCCCGCCCGCGCCCCCGCCCCGCGCCCCCGCCCGCGCCCTCGCCCGCGCCCCGCCCCGCGGGCATCTCGCGGTCCCCGCGTTCCCCAGCGCCCCCGCCCGCGCCCCGCCCGCGCCCCCGCCCGCGCCCCCGCCGGCGTGGGGAGAAGTGCGTTAGACAGAACAAAATTTTGTGAACGTATTATACGAGTGGCCCTTTTCCAAAAATGGAATTATAAACCTTGTAGATTACAATACATTAAGACCTCAATATTAATCGCATCCTTAATTTTTTCCGTCCCCACCCAAGTTGACAATTCTCTTTATTCAAGTTTACCAAGTAATAAAAAATTGGGCCAATGGTCTGCTTCTTAACAAGAACTTCATAACAAGAACAGTTCTCTAAGCGTTGGGAGTCTGACCTCCGTTGTTACCAGGCTCAGGAACTGGAAGAAGGTGGTGTTACATTTTCGTTCCAGCTCATTAAGTTTCGGCCTCTTTAACTATCGGAAAATTCGGATGTTCATAGTTATCAGAGTGGAATCAATATCAAACTGTTTGCGGTACCTGACAGCCGGGGGTGAGAAAATGACTCAACGATCCCGTTAGGATTCGAATCACAACTATTCTAGCAAGAAAAGGATGCTTTTAAGGCATTTCAGATCAAATTACCTGTCACAGTTACTTTTCTCCTGTAGGCACACTTTTGTTCGTACGGGTGCATCCTCGTCGAGGCCTTCCACATTAACTTATTTTAAAACCATTTTAAGTGCTAAGACCACTGTCAACATTTCAATTCCTAAATCTACTGACATCATTTTAAGTATTAAGAGCACTTCATAACTTGAAATGGTAAGATTACAGCCTCATCCCAATAATGATATTTACAGTCGTAATATTTACTATAATACTAACGTCACTAGAACGCAATGCGCCATGAATTAGTCAATTTATCGTTTTTACGCAAACAATGAAATCGATCAATATGACAACAAAAATTACAATAAAATTTTTAATGTCATCATGTTTATAAATATATTGGACATTTTATAAACCATGCTCCTTAGGGAAACCTATGGATACAAACGTTAATTGCAATTCGAAACTTTCATTATTAACCTCAGTATTTGCTCTTAAGCGTCACCAGAAGTAACGGCTTAATTAAGAGCTTATATCGATCAACAAAAGGAAACGTGCCACGATTATACCTAGCTGTTCAACATATTTATTGTATATGGAGAATTTGTACTGAGAAGGAAGATAAATCGGTGCTGCGAACAAAATGCGTGTTTAGATTAGTCTGTGTCTGGTTTTTCTTCAACGTAATACATAAAGCTTCCAACTAACAGATTTTGATGACACTAGTGAATGGAAGACCTCAACGGCAGCTTCATGTTCAGAGAGCGATGCATGTAACTATTACGGAAATGTCACAGCAGAATCGTTTTGATGTTGCTCAGGGACGTAACATGGAATTTCAAGGTCAGAGCAGAAAAAGGAAAACGTAAACTTGCCCCGGTTAGAAGTCCTGCGTTTCGTAGTACACCAATATAACTGAACTATGACCTACAATTTTAATTGAATAAAATGATCCAGCACTGTAGACTAGTTTTCCCGCATTCCTGTATTTCTAACTTAGTTTCCAAGGTAGTATTAGGTTGGGCTAGATAGTGGGAACTGAATTGCAGCGAAGAAAATTTTTTGAATTAGTTAATTAATTTATTTGCATACGTAAACTTCCGCGGCTCGATTCGCTTCCCAGTGACGCTCTGTCCTGAGGTTCGAACTGTTCGTCACTGCCCTGAGGAAGCCTCCGACATGTCAGGCGAATCGTCGGCCTCTCAGCCAACGACAAGGTCACACCCGGATAGCCAATATTTTGATTAAATTATTTGTTTAGAAAAGAGCAAAAAGTGAATTACCTTGATGTCAGCCCATTTATTCCCGAATCACAGTGGACGAAAACTATTCTGAAACGCACGAAGTATATTATTTGTAATTTTTAAGATAGCCATCCATTGTACATGACAATAGTGTGATCTTGTATTGTATGTAATATAAATTGAAATTGTAAATTTCAGTGTTTTTAGAGAATATTCATACATTACAAACATGTATTCTTTAGGCTCAAATCTACAATCATTTGAAACGAGGAGCAACGCATGTATTAAATGTTATGTATGAATGAATTTAATGTTAAAAGCATCCTGGATATCAGAGACTTATTTTCATCTTCATCGTCATTTCTTCATCATCTTTATCATCACCATCTTCATTTCTTCATAATTTCATTTGATCGTTTTAATACCATAATCAGCTTCATTTCTTCTTCATCCATATTTCTTCTTCTTCTTCTTCTTCATGTTTCCTTCATTTCTACTTCTCAATTTTTTTTCATAAGCTTCATTCCCAACTTCTTGATTTCGTCATAATTTCATTACGTCTCCTTTCTCCCTTCACATCTTCATCTCCTTTTCTTCGACTTCTTGTTAATTTCCACCGTGGAGCGCGCGGGCTGGGCGCTTAGCTGTTCCACAGCAGACGGTCGGCGCGCTGTCGCACGCGTTCGCCCCTTGGCTGAGGCCATCCGCCCGCGCCGCCTCTCCCTATAGAAACTCCGCCGCGCCAGCCGCGCCGGGGCCGCGCCGGCCTATTTACAAGCAAACGGAGGGATCCCTCGTCCTTTGCTTGCTCAGCGGCGCGCGACCGCGCAGCACGTCGCCTCGCCTCTGGCTCCTCCGCGGTGGGCGGATCAGGGCGACGGGTAATGAAGCCCCGGAGGGAGTCTTAACGGGTGAAATTATCAAGGAGAGGATTTGGGCGGGATCGACTATCGAAAGGTAGTTTATTAAATTATTTAATGCGATTAATGTATGTGTTAGGATTAAAATCTACGAAATTATCAAGGTGAGGATTTGGGCGGGATCGACTATCGAAAGGTAGTTAATTATTTAATGCGATTAATGAATTTGTTAGGATTAAAATCTACTAGTAATCTTTACAAACATTTTAATTTGGATGGATGAGCAAACAGATATTGGTCATGCTGCTTGATGAAGATAGATCAGACCTGTGGCAACCAAGTTCAGCGTACTGATATTTGGTATATTCTTGGGCAATTGTAAAAAGATGGAAGAAGATTTAAAGTAGCTGAAAGATTACTTATTACGTAAAATTTGAATTAACAAATAAACGTTTTATCTAAAACAACGTGGTGGTTGCCTTTTCTCTAAAAACACAGCGGCAAGTTGTGAACGTCACAAAACAAGTGAAAGCATTACGGAAGATCCGCGTTTCTAAACATAACACAGAGCGATTACTACCGCAGTCATGTACTTCCAAGGGCCTAATTACACATCATCGAATATCAATGTTGTGAGAGAAACGATGCTCCTTCCTCGACTTCGTACAGACGTCCTTTAGTCCACAATCCCGGCCTTCGTTCTCCACGCCCCCCCCCTCCTTTCGCCCCTTCGCCGTCACCGCCCCAGTCACGCGCGCGGCCACCTGCGCGGCGTCGCACGAAGCCTCCATCCGCTGCCCATTGCGCCGCCGCACACTGGGCCAGAATATCGACAACGCGGCCAAAATTCAAAAACTCATATTCAAAGTGTTCGAAATCTCACATTCATTCCCAGTGTTCAAAATCTCACATTCATTCCCAGTGTTCAAAATCTCACACACATTCAGTGTTCGAAATCTCACATTCATTCACAGTGTTCGAAATATCACATTCATTCACAGTGTTCAAAATCTCACATTCATTCCGTGTTCAAAATCTCACATTCATTCACAGTTTTCAAAAACTCACATTCATTTCCAGTGTTCAAAATCTCACATTCATCCCCAGTGTTCAAAAACGAAGGGTACAAATCTCGTATCCAATAAGACGGAGGATTTCTTTAAAAGAAATGTTAAAATTATTGTAACCTAACACTGATTTTTTCGTTATGTTCATTTAGCATGTTGTCGCTTACAAAAGAGTTGTTGAGCATGCTATAGCACGATTTATTTAGTCGTGCATTTGGCGTAAAGCAGCTGTTGCGGTTTCATCCAATCGAAAGCTTATACGCCGCTACAGTAACGTCACTACGGGGACGTTCATGCTTCCGATTGGATGATAACAGTGAACAGCTGATTTACGTCAAGTGCAAGATTTTAAAACTGTTTATTAAAGAAAATATTATTCTATCCATCAAACAATTTCAAATACAAGGAATGTTAGAGAATACGAAACTTATTTCTCTTTCCATGATTTTTTAAATAATTTATTCCATTAATGTACAATTGTGGAGATATGATTAAACAATTAAAAGGAGATTAACAATTAAATGCATATCTTCTAAATTACAGTCCGTTTTCAATTTTTCAAATCCGACTGAACTCAAAAGTGTTGACCGGGAGAGATGACTCAGGGGACAATTGTGATGTCTGTGCAGTCCCTCTGGCCGGGAGGTCCTAGGTCCGGGTCCCAACGGTGGCAAGATTTTCGACACTCGCATGACAGCTAGATCAAATTCAGTCGCTGTCCGGAGGAGAATACTAGAAGCTGGCTGCTCTGTTTGGTAATTTTCCGTGGATTCTCCGATCAACACCACGCGCCTGAGAATACCCTAAAAAAAATAAACGAATAGGGTTGTTTATATCAACGGAATTTAATAGTTCCAAAATCACAGTAGCCACTCTACTAGATCCTAATTCCCAACAAGAAACTGTGTCCTCTTTTTAGCCGTATTCGGCATTCTGCCCCACTGAGCGCTCCTCCCCACCCCCCTTCCCAGCCTCCCACAGCCAGCGGCGGACGATGACAGTGGAAAAGCGACGGCGGCGGCGGCGGCGGCGGAGGCGGAGGCGTGCGCAGACGCGATGGGTGCGCGGGAGGTAGCGCTGGCGTCAGCGACCGGAGGAAGCAGAGATGGAGGGAGGTAATGACAATCCGTCGAGACAGCGACCAGACAATGTTAAAAACAAATCAATGGAGTTTTAAAATAGACGCTTATTGATGGCGGGTAAGAAGTATTATTGTGATATTGGCAGAGTATTAGTATTCAGGATGAATGAAGGGGGATGCAGGGAGGTACGGTTGATGATGGTCCTCACAGTGAAGACTTTTCCACGCGAATGAGACTATTTCTAATCAATATGATAAGTTTCAAATGTGTTTACGAAGGTAGCGACGGGGAAGATGAAATGGGTCGGCCAACTAATGAAACGGAACTTCGGACGTGTCTCCAGGGAATCGTCTGGGGAAAATGTTGCAAAAGGCAACCGCCGCGCCGCCTGGAGGAAAAGACGATGAGTGAGTGTCGGGTGGTATCAATGGGGACAGTGTCAGGAGCGGATACAGACGTATCGAAAATGCTGCCATTGGAGCCATGTGCCCCGGCCCCAGCAATCCTGTCTTTTTCTTCTAATTTTACTGAGTGGTCCTGAATTTTACTCCGGTCGCTGAGTTTCAAGAGTGTGTTACAGGGGGGCGTTAGGTTATTCAAAATTAGTGATGTGACATCGATAAGAAAACATCGGTGTTACCAAACATCGATGTTCAAAATTAAAACATCGATTGTAAAAATACATCAACTGAAAACCATCGATATTTTTCAACATCGATGTTTTTAAACTGGATAAGTTACCTCTAACATTAAATTCGTATGCATTAAAATTTAATTTGACAGTGTTCGTGTTTATCAATTCGCCGAATATGGGTACGAGAAAAAGGGTTACAGCGTTACACTAGGCTTACAGCGTAATTTACAGCGAGAAAGTTTGGTCGATGAAGGTAGTGCAAACAGCATTCCTTTGGTTGCAACATATGAATAAGTGTTTCCTATTCGTTTTATTTCATATTTTAACTTTTACAGAAATGTGTAAATGGAAATTTAAAATTCAGAAACAAAACATCGGAAAATAAAAATCGATGTATTAAACCGATGTTTCTACAAAAAACATCGATGTTTTGAAAACATCAACATCGAGGTCGCATCCCTATTCAAAACACGTACTACAAATTTGCGTCACGTAATTTATGAACATCCCCTCAGGCGTGGAGTTTCGAACTCAAATTCCTCCTCCCCCTCCACAACGATTTCAGCTGAAGAGCGGAGACGGGCTGCGTGGGCAGCAGAGGCGACGGTTCGCACCGTGGGTGGAGAGTGGGAGGGGGGGGGAGGAGGGAGGGGGAAGAGCCACAGCTTCATTGAGCGGAGGCCACGCGACCTGTCGCGTCAGCCGCGTGCAGCGCTCGGGCGCACGTGGCCCCGCGCCGCAATAACAGCGCCGGCGGCCGTTATTAGCGCCATTCAGACCGACCGGTTACGGAATTCCCTCCTCCGCGGAACGCCGTCGCCCTTTGTCTTACTCGGAATAACGCGGAACAAAGGCTACAGGAACTACGTCTGCTGCCCCGTTCGCGTGCGATGCTGCTTTTCTGCTTCGGTACAAGGAGGAAAAGATGCTGGAACATTAACGTAGCTCCAAATAAAGATTCAGCTCGGGCAATATAGGTCCTAATTGAAAATGTTATAATTTCCTAACGGCATTGAACGGATGTATTTTAATTGTAATTCAGTAATTGAAAAAAAAGCAATTGAAAGTATTTAAATAACAGAAAGTATTGAATTAATAGAATGTATTATGAATTGAATATCATTACTCATCACATTAATGAATTAATTGTTTCTCTTTTATATTGTTTTGTTGTTTATTTTTTCTTGATCTTCGGCAGCTCCGGTAGTTCACAGTAGTTCTACAGTACCTCAACATTAAGATGCTTTTGACATAACATACGTCCTATCCCATTCCATTTCTCGATAATTCAATTATTTGTATTTCTAATATTCTTCTTTGTGAAAAGTAATTTTCCCACAGTCTCTCTTTTTTTTTCACTATTGGTAAACGTATCACCGCAAACCGAATGTAAATATACTGCATAATAACCACACCTGTAAGCTTTTTAAGTAGTTGTATTAAAGATTTTAAATATTAAATGTAAGATCTGTAAGGCTAATCGCATTTTCGAAAATTTCTCTTTACGTAATCGTACGACTCGCAAACATTCAACAACAAAGAACACGAGTGCCATTTGCATTTTCAACAATGTTCGCACTTCCGTATTTCGCCAGTTCTCCCGTGACCTTCAAGTAAATGAGAAACCTAAGCGGGCGCGTCCATTGTGTTGGTAGAAATTTGTAAAGCGCCGACAAGAAAACCGAAAGCTGCAATCCGAGCCGAAGAAAGTGACCAAACACGACTCCAGTTTGTAGACACCCGTCTAGCATTGTCCTGTGCGGGCGCGATGTCCCAAGACGCTCCCGGCCGGAGATCACCTCGAGAACTCTG